CGGGCAAAGTAGATTCATTAAGGGGGATGAAGTTCTGGACTTTCTGCTTTTTTTAGATTGGCCCTGGGGAGGTACGCAGAGCAGTATGTTTTTTCTGTTTTGTGTGTATAGAATGAGATATGTCATAAGATGGTAAACCTAGGCTTTTAAATTGTTAGAGAACAGATCAATTTGAAATGGATAAGCTCAAATAATATTATCTTCATCTTAATACTTATGTCTACCCAACTGGTCAATTCCCTTTAATTTAGTGCATTATCCCTTTCATGGTTTCTTTCCTGAGATTCTAATAAAGTTTTCTTTTCCTTTCTCCTGGTATGTAATTAGTATCAAATTAGGGAAGCTAGGTATTCCCACATCAGGAACAGCAAAATATTATTTAGGATTACATAAAAACTGAGAAATCTTTGACAAACCTTTGTCATTGATTTAGTAAGATACTGTTTTGGTTCACAGCAAAATAGAACATGGGTATTACAATTATTTCAGTTTTCCAAGGAAGAGTCCCAGATTTAAAATTGAACAAATTCACTGAGCTTATTTGCTATTGTTGGTATGAAAAAACCCAAATGGAATATCTTTACATGAATGTTTTGCTTTCCATTACCTAGAAGGAAATAATTCTCTGCCATTTCCTATGTTACTGAGAAGCTATATTAGGATTCCTGCTTAGGAAAGTTTTAAGGAAGGCTAAACGTAGTTGCAGTTTTCTGCTTAACACAGCATGCTAGCAACAAAATATTCTCTTGCTAATAACAGCTTCTGTTTATTGTTTTGCACTGGGATATTCCAGTTACCAAGTGTGAATTATACCATGCTTTGTTTGGTTTCAAATAAAAATGAAGTTCACCCGCAGTGGTCTAGTTTCGTGCTCTTTCCCACCCTCATCCATGTCATTTTATCCCCGCAGTGGGCCCATCCAGCAGGGCTGGGAGGGGACAGCCAGAAGCTCTTTCACCTTTCTGTTCAGTGCTATTTCAGGTTTCTGCCAGCAAGTAACACTGATGGAGTAACCCCACCGTTCACTTGTGTTACAGCCCACTCCAGGAACACCACCTCTACCATCTGCAGAGATGTGCTAGCTTTTGGTGGGAAAACAACATGCTATTAGATCTACCAGAGTCATCCTGTGTCTTTAAAATGTTAAACACCTTCCACGAGGTTCAAATGTTACTTCTTAACAAGAATTTGGGTATCTACTGTGGGGGTTTTGATTGTCATCACTCTTAAGACTAGAGATCCTGAAAGCATGTGAGCAGCTAAATCCAAACTGCATGATTAGCATTCTTATAAAAGCTGCATTTTTAGCAACGTGAGCATGAGTTTTGGTGAACTTCATGGATAGTGGTCGAGGCAGAGCTTGCCTTGTCTTCCGAATCCTATCCATTCCAATCCTGTACCATCCCCAGGGGACTGTGGGATCATAGGTTGATAATCTGCCAATGCAAAGATGCAGGATGGGTTCCTCCTGTATGGATTTTATTTTTTTTTTATTAACATTGCGAAAGATCTCCTGTCTTAAGCATCATCATTTTGTTGGCTTTTCTGAACTGGAAAATCAGGGGAATTTCTTTCATCCTTGTTCCCTGTCGTGTCTCTC